ATACAAACTGCGAGAGTTGGACGGGAGCGCAGAGTGTGAAGTGGAGTGGAGTAGTAAACGCAGTGCTAATCTACTTATTACTAACACTATTGTTTTGTATATATCTTCAATATACTTTTTTCAACTGACCTTCGTCTTCCGTGTCTTTCTTTCTGGCCCCTAAACAGGCCACAATAATTACCTTGTGAGAATTTTCCGGGTCTACTTTCTAAGACAAGGACTCAAAACAATTTGTAGATGGTGATGAAAGTAAGGAAAGCAATGATTGTTTTGGACCCACTTATGAGATATCTCTCGAGAATTTTCAGCCTTTCCTTTGCGTTGTCTTTTTAATCTTTCTCTCACAACATTATTTTGTCTTTTTAACATTAACATTATTAGTTAAACTCATACATTTTGTAATATTTTGGCTTCAATAAAAATGTTCATTGTTTTTTATGTCATTACCATTTGACCAACAATTGTTATACGACTTAGGTACATAGAATGTAATCATTGTTTTTAGTCAAATAACAGCTTCAAATAGTGCAACTGCCAAAAAATATGATCTGTTGCTTAACCGTCAAACTATGACTGATAATAATTCTACCATCATCAAGTGACTTTAGGTAGTATAAAATACAAACACAGCACTGCTCTCTCTAAATATTTCTGGGAATTGAAGAATGATGGCAATTTATCTTTTATCAACTGAGATATTATAGCAAGAGCGACATATTATAAACGGAAAGGAAATAGATGCGACTTATGTCTTACTGAAAAATAGGTTATCTTGGTTGGTTATCTTAAAACGCTAACCCTAACCCTAGCTTATTAAGCAAAAGGAATGAATTGATGGTCACATGTAGACATAAAAATAAATAACTGCTTAAATACGTTGATTCAGATTCATTTTTCAAGTTTATTTTTTAATGTAAATTAAGGTTTGTTTTTGTTTTTTTAAAACGACAAGTAATCTCCCTTTAATATAAAAATAAAAAAATAGTATTCCCAACACTAAAATATATATTTTTTTTACATATATATATTTTTTTTTACATATATATATATATATATATATATATATATATATATATATATATATATATACAAATTCATACAAATTTTAAATACAAAAATATAATTTCTAAAAAATTAAAAATTTGTAATCCCAGTATAATATATAGCAATATATAAAGATTGTTGTACATAAACTCTGAGTCATGATATCGGTGAGGGATAATATATATATATATATATATATATATATATATATATATATATATGTATATATACGGGTAAACCTAAGCCTTGTGAGTGAAAGTGGATAGATGGAACTCTTGTGGATCATCTATATTGTGTTAGCAATGAAGTCACTTCGTGACCTGATGATTTGAGTGTGC